TGGCGGTGATGAATTTGATTGTTGATGAAATTCTTCAACGAGGATGGAGAGAAGTGAACCTAACTCTTTCGTCATAGATTGCATGATTCGTAGATGCTGGCAGGCGAGGAGATCGATTCAAACTGAAATCGCCGAATATTTCCAGCAAGCCTTTCCGATGCTGTGTGGGGAGGACGATGATGGGGGATGATTATGCCGATGGCGGGGTGCGACTGCCGCCGAACGCGTTCTTGACGAAGCAGATGGCGAGGCAGAAGGGGAAATTTTTTAGAGCGAGAGATGCAAATCGGTAGAGAATAGTTTTTTTTTTTTAATTTGAGGTTATAGAATATTATTTACTAATATTCTTGAATTTAAAGTTTTTTCAATTTTTTATTTTCAAAGTTTTATTTAATTTAAATTAAAAATGTGAGGTGTCAATGAGTTGGCATTGCCACGTAAGCAAAAGTCAATGTTAAGTTGACCGCCTTTTGGTCAACTGTTATCTTTAACGGTCAACAAAATTGACAGGATACAAATGACACAAAATATAATACTTCATGACATGAATGGAATATTGGAAACAATAGGACACAAGTGGCATTTTCGCCCTAAATATTATAATAACTATCACATAAACCAAACGATGTAAACTACAATACACCAATTTTTGTATATACATGTACATTATTATGCATACATTGATAACAATGCATCAATTTAACTATCACCAAACCAAACGACCCCTTAATAAATGTGTTCTTTCAATACAAAATTTTCCAAATATCAAGTTGAGATGAAGAAGATGGGTTATCATATCAATGTCATATCTTGATGATATGATTGATATGACATGTAATAATACTAAAACCGAGACGTATTTTGAAGAGTTCATTTTTCCTTCGCTTAAATTATAGCAAAATAGATATCAATATTTAGGTAATAATTAATGCATTTTTCAATTCAATTTATTTTAATTCCGAGTTAAAACAAATTTTGTAGGATTCGATTAAGCAAAATAGGGATTAAAAAAGGGCTAATACCACTAGGAAACCCGAACAATTAAGAATGCGTCATTTGTATCCTAAAGTATCCAATATGACATTTGTGTCCTAAACTAATTTTCCGTTAGAGTTTACCGGCATTGACCGTTAGTATTTAACAAATGACACATTTTTAATTGTTCGGGTTAGGACATAAATGACACAAAACTATAATAGGCTGGGACATAAATGACACAAAATTATAATAGTTTGGGACACAAATGTCATATTGGATACTTTAGGACACAAATGACATATTCTTAATAGTTCGGGTTTTCTAATGGAATTAGCCCTTAAAAAAGTACATTTTCTCTTCTCTGGATCAGTGTTAGGCTGTTAGCTTAAAAAATGCTTTAGGGGGTGGCGGTATTATCAACCAGTCCCTCATTTTTTTGTTGTGAATTATTCTGGATCATTAGATGAGGAAAGGATGGAGGGTGGATGATTGAATTTTGTAATTATTTTGCATACAGGAATTTTGTACCCATAATTTTTTTTTTAAAACTACTCCACTAGGAGATTAGTGGCTGACAAGCAGAACCACTTTTCGAGAGATCAAGGCACACGAGAAAGGCTGCGGAAGCAGTCAGTGTGATTGATAAAGAAGAGCGGTTCTAACATTGATTCTGGAGTGAACTTGTGTTAGAAAGTGAGTGTGTTGGAAAACACAGGAGCTGGATAGCTTGGTGATTAGAGGATAGTTGTTAGAGGTTCGATTAATCATCCAGGATTGGATTGATTGATCTCGTGAGTGTAAAGTTGTCGAAGGAACAAAATCGCCATACTTAGTGGAACGTCGGAAATCACAAATTGTGATCCTTCGACCGTGGAATAGTCGGTATTGGGATTCTCTTTTCCAATACTGGAAACGACGTAAAAAAGTGACTGTGTTATTTTACTGTTGCTTCTTATTTTCTGCAGTCTAGTTCATACTCTGTTTTTGGCAGAGCCTAGGGATGGCAACAAAACCCGAACCCACGGGTACCCACCCGACCCAACCCGGTCAACGCGGGTAATATTCGTGTTGACGGGTTTTTGGCCAGGTTTGAGTTTAAACCCGTTCACTATTCACCGGGTTGGGTTGGGTTTGGGTTTAGGTAAACCAGACCCATGGGTACCGCCCACACCCATATAATAATTTTCTCAGTATATTTAATATTCTAAACAACTAATCTTATTTATGTTTGTGGAGACATGTCTAATTTAATCTTTCTAATTGTGTAGAATGAAGTTGATGTTATCGAGTGGAGAGTGAGGAAACTTAATTGAAAGAAAGAAGCTTTCAATTAATCATGTTATTTATGGATAATTTGAGATTTGCTTCAATATTCTTGAGTTGTCTAGATTGGCGTTGAACAATTTGTATAGTTAATTTGTGATTTGCTTGAATTTTCTAGAATGGTGTTTTAAATATGGATAATTGTATTGAGAGATTGATATTTGACTTTAATTTTGATAGGAACTTGTTATTGTAAATTTTTTACGACAAAAACCTGTGGGTACCCATGAACCCGCGGATACCCAGCGGGTTGGGTTGGGTTTGAGTTTTTCAAACCTAGTAGGTTTTACCCCGGGTTTTTTTCACGGATAAACCCATGGATTTGGTTTTGGGTTCCCGACCCAACACGACCCATTGCCATCCCTAGCAGAGCCCGGGGTGTTTATCTCATGCAGGGAAACCAGTTCGGGAGAAGGAAGAAGAAGAAGCAGTAGGGTAAAAGTAAAACGCGTCGTTTTGGCAAAACTCGTGGGTTGTACGTGGTTAGTGAAACACGAGTGGGCCTGATTGACTAAGCCCAATACGACGAGTATCACTCTCGTCAAAACAACATCTACGTGCTTAGTATCATTGGGCATTTCAGATAAAGTCCATTTCTTTCCATCACTCACTTGTTCTTTCCAAAAGATCGATTTAGGGTTTGCAGATGTTGATCGAAGTACAGGAAGGAGCAGGCATCTCGCACTCGACGCCAGCAACAGTACAGAGATATTTTGAAAGCATAGGAAGGGTAATATTTGTTCAGATTTTGCAGAAACAGCTTCATATCTCCCAAAGCACCACAAACCAATTTCGCATGTTTACAAAATGAAGCATTACATTCGTGTAGGGTTTGGTATGGATGGGCATAGAGACTTGAGAGTAGAAGACTGTAAACCAATGGCAGGACATAACACAGAAGGAACAATAACCGGATAGGGCATTTGACAGCAAAAGATAGCCTCACCGATCGATCATATACAAGAAAATGAACAACATTTACCAGCAATTCATCCATGGAATGAATGATTACATAAATACAACGAGACTAAACATGCATAAGCAGCAATAAATCAGAAAACAAAAGCTACCATCTTGTTGATGCTCACGGAAAGACATTTCAAACACTGACCTGCGACCATAACATATGAACTACAGCAATTACACGCTTTGCTCTATGAGGATTTGATCTATTTCACAAAAGGGCTGCACCAATTACAGCAATACATTCCACCAAAATTTTCTAATGAGATGCAAATTCATCCTAACATTAGCCAAAAGGGATGAACCCACAACCCGTCTAGTGAGTGCGCAGAGTCGACACTATCGTCATGAAACATCCATAAAGTCATAAACCCTAATCTGATCAAATGCTGAGAAGGTTGCACAACTATGCAACAGATTATCAGAAAATCCACAACCACAAAACCCAAACATGAACATATAAACATTATCTGCACAATCCCACATTCCTATCAAAGTAAATAAGACCTCAGAATAGTACTTTATGGAGTTGGCAAACAGATACATCACCTACATCAATCTGAAAGATTAATCAACTCATACGGAGCAAGAGACAAAGCAAACAGCAATTGTCTTGAGATTTTCAGAAAACCAACCAGAATACAGACAATTCCCTAAAGCAGAAAACCTATCACTCTAATCCACCATTGCAAACTTAACTGAAAACTTATGAACACCCGAGGATTTAACATTCGAGTGGGTTTGCAGAAAGATTATCAACATCTAAGACAGATTCATGCACATCATAGAGTACTAAACGATAGATAAAACAAAAGAAATGAGCACACCCAGTCGAGTTTGGAATATAACAGAACTAAACCAATCAAAATCCAACAATTAACATCATCCATGGCCGCAAACATACGAGTTCCAACCCATTCGCTATTCGAAACTGTAAACTAGAGATAGCATAATTTAAAATAGAACAGTAAATTATCCATTGTACTCTGAAAACATCAAACGGATGATATGAGACTAATCGGAACCAGCCTTGTTGTAGACATAGGTCATGCCACACTTTCCACAGTAGTGCCTGTCAAAGTGGTTCGCCATGAACGTACCAGCTCCGCACTCGGCGTTGGGGCATTCCTTCCTCAGCCTCTGCACCTTGCCGGAATCCTCCACCTTGTAGAACTGGAGCACCGCGAGCTTGACCTTCTTCTTCTTGTGCTTGATCTTCTTGGGTTTGGTGTAGGTCTTCTTCTTCCTCTTCTTGGCGCCACCGCGGAGACGGAGGACCAAGTGGAGGGTGGACTCCTTCTGGATGTTGTAGTCGGCGAGGGTGCGGCCGTCCTCCAGCTGCTTGCCGGCGAAGATCAGCCTCTGCTGGTCCGGCGGGATGCCTTCCTTGTCCTGAATCTTCGCTTTCACATTGTCGATCGTGTCCGAGGACTCGACTTCGAGGGTGATTGTCTTCCCGGTTAGGGTTTTCACGAAGATCTGCATCGTTGCCGGCGAGAGTGAGAGAGCTCTAGCCGAATCGAAGATTGTGAGTTTGCGGAAATGTGGGTAAGAGTGATTTATATACCCTAGATTTTGGGACGCTAGGGTTTTGGAGATAATCGGTTGCTTTTTGGGCCCTTCTTTATACTGGACTGAATTCAGGCCCAATATTATTTGAACAGCTAGATAGCCCTTTCGGCCTACAAATCAAGCTGTCCCAAGAAACTAAGATGTTGGGCCTTGGCCTAAGTCCAACCGTAGATATCTGATCATGTTATCGTCTTCTACCTTCCGGCTTCCTCCACCAGTTCACTGCAATTTTCCATTATTTCGGAGGGAAAATATCAAATATGCTGGAATTTTGAAGCTTTTTTCTCCATTCAAGGAGTGGAGCTAAGCTAATGGCGATGGCAATTGTGGCGTCTTTGCCGGGGAACCTATTTTCTTCCGTTCCCTCAACGCGGCCGTCCAACGACTCAAATGCTACTTCTTACTCCCCACCGGCGCCGCCGATTCCCGTCCCTAGATATCCACCGCCGCGAGAAAAATCCAAGCCGCCTCCTCCGAAGCCAACCAATCCGGCGTTCAAAATCCCTCACCACAGGACGAAGTACTACAAGCCGGTGAGAGAGGGCGTGATTAGCTCCGATGGGGACCGGTCCGTCGTAATCGGGGAGAACGGCGTGTCCTATCTGCTCCCCGACGCGCCGTTCGAGTTCCAGTACAGCTACTCCGAGACGCCCAGTGTGAAGCCCCTGGCAATTCGGGAGCCGGCGTTCTTACCCTTTGCGCCTCCGACGATGGCTCGGCCGTGGACTGGGAAAGCGCCGCTGAAGCCGAAGAAGAAGAAGATCCCTCTATTCGACTCGTTCAACCCGCCGCCGCCGGGGACGAAAGGGGTGAAATTCGTGGAAATGCCGGGGCCGTACCAGTTTGGGAAGTACCCGGAGGAAGGAATGACGAGGGAGGAGATATTGGGGGAGCCATTGACGAGGCACGAGATTCAAATGCTTGTGAAGCCGATGCTGTCCGATAATCGCCAGGTTAATCTGGGTAAGTTCAGTTTTCAGAATGCCTTTCTGATCCAAAAAGAACTTTTGGACTTCATTGTTTTAGCTGAGCTCCATTACTGAATTGAAATTGGGGTTGTAGGGAGGGACGGATTAACGCATAATATGTTGGAATTGGTTCATTCGCATTGGAAGCGGAGGCGAGTCTGTAAAGTTAAATGTAAAGGTGTTCCCACTGTGGATATGAAAAATGTATGCCGGCATTTGGAGGTAAATATATTGTGTAAGATGCTGCGGTTGATGTGAAGTATAAAAGGTTTTACTTTCTTTCTGCTCACTCTGTCATTTTGTTATACTGGCAGGCCAAAACCGGAGGTAAGATCGTACATCGAGTTGGTGGTGTTGTTTATCTTTTCCGGGGAAGAAACTACAACTATGCAACTCGTCCACAGTACCCAGTGATGCTATGGAAACCAGCTGCTCCAATCTACCCTAAACTCATTCAGGACGCTCCTGAAGGATTGACGAAAGAGGAAGCAGATGACTTACGGAAGAAAGGGAAGAAACTTCTGCCTATATGTAAATTAGGTAACTGAACAGTTACTGCCTGTCTGATCAATCCAATTGTAACCTGTTGCAGTCTCCCGAAATGTTCACCAATGCCACATTACCCTTCTTGCTGTTGCTGCAGCCAAAAATGGAGTGTACATTAATTTGGTGAGAGATGTTAGGACGGCTTTTGAAGGAAGTCCACTTGCGAAGATCGACTGCAAGGGAATGCATGCAACCGATTACAAGAAGTTGGGTGCTAAGCTGAAGGTCGTTTTAAGCCTCCTGCTCTTGTAACTCGTTCCGAAGGGTTTTATAGATTGCATCAGATGCGTGGAGGACTGCTACATTGTTGGATGATCATGATTAAGAAAGAAGAAACATAACACCAGGAGCACATTTGTTAAGAACTCAATCTCACAACAAAATTGCACAGTTCTTTGATTTGTCTAATTATCTTTGTTTCCATTTTCTTCACAGGAATTGGTTCCGTGTGTGCTACTGTCATTTGATGAGGAGCAGATATTGATGTGGAGGGGACATGAGTGGAGATCAAAGTACAATTATGATTCTCCTTCAGTTCCTTCGTATTCTGACGTTGCAAATCACTCAACACAGGAAAATCCTGGTATGTTATATGGGGTGGGGAAGTTATCAAAGTTACTCTAGTATTAACCCCTTGAGCAAGTTTCTGTGCAAACAAGGAAGTTTCACCTTGACTTTTATTATTACGAAGATGAGAGCAGAGCTTATGATGTAGTACTAGTCCGTTGTTATCCTGGAAATTTCTTGCTGCTAGTCATACCAGAACCCACGTGAGAAATGGAGCTGACGCATTTCTGTCTCCTCCTATCTCTCCACCCTTCAATTTAATACAACTCTTCTTGCCCACTTTGCTAGCTGATTCGAATTGCTTATGTTGAGTTGCAAAAGCTTCTTCTAACTTTGGAATTAGTATACAGTCATGTTTAGCCGTTTGAAGTTGTAACCATCTTCGTCTCCTTGGCTCTCCACAGGTCAGTCCGAGGACCGTGACACAGAAACGGTGAGATCAAGTCCTAAAATGATGTCCCTGTGGAACCGTGCAATTGAATCAAGCAAGGCTATTGTGCTGGAGGAGACAAATCTTAACCCAGATGAGCTCCTGACTAAAGTGGAAGAGTTTGAGATCATTTCACAGGCTACAGAACACTCCTATCCAGCTGTAATATTAGCCAGTGAAGATGGTACTTCTGTCCGTGAAATTTCTTCTGGTGAAGATGAAGAATACATTGATAATGAACTAGAAGAAGAAGAAGACGAGGACGACGATGATGATGATTTCTACGACAGCGATTCATTTGGAGAGGTTGACCTCACAGCGGCTCCAGGATCATTGGCCATTGATGAAATAGCAAAGAGGCTGGACTGGATGAATGAAGAATGAAAAATGAAGGATGTACAGAAACTAAAAGTTGAAGAAGCTGTGACTTGCTTGTATAAAAGATATTTAATTTATTGTTAATTCATTGTCTAAATCTCCCGAAATACTTGCTCCTATAGTTACTTGTGGGCTGTGGCCCATGGGGGAGACGTGTCGAATCCGAGCCGTATCCGAATCCTTCTGTCGTCCACCAACAACCACTATCTGCTCTGCTGCATTCTCATTCTGAAATCTCTTTCTACGAATTCGACGATGCGCCCGCATATCAATCGGGTGGAGGAGTGTCAAACTTAGCTTTTCGTTCTTTCTAGATTCCCGTCGTCTCCGTTGGCAGAACATACCCGTATTTCGGTATTTGCCTTCCTGTTCGCCTCTGAATCATTCTTCCGAGTTCCGAAGCAATGCAATCAAGAAGCTGGGCTCACATTTATCCCTTTCTTCGTCCACTCTTCTCTGTCCCTTCACTTTCTTGACCAACAATGATCATCAATCCTCGTGCTTTCCCGTGAAACGGAAGTGCGGATCTTTGTGTCTCCGAAGGAGTTGGTTCTGCTCCGAGCTCTCAGCTTCGCTTGCGCTGCGTTCATCTCAGAGCTGTAAGTGCTGCTACAAATTCTTGATTCTTGCTTGCGTTTTGATTGCGCTGTTTATGGTACAGAATCGTGGGTTTGGTTGCATTTAAAGTAAAGAATCCGCCTTTGTGGGTTAGGAATTGCCACTATGTATGGAGGCTTTGTAGACTGTGTTTGTTACTGCTTTGCTTATATAGCTTAAATTCCTTGAGTGTCTCATGAACATATTGAAAGGAGGAAGGATGTCGTATCAATTCGCTGATGCTGGTTTGTAGACACTTTACATTTATTTAGCTCCACTTTTACTTGCCCTTGCACATTCTCGGGACCCCGTCGCTTGACAGTAGCTCCTTTGTAAAAGATGTTCATTAAAAGCAACTAGATTGAGTAGCAGAGTTTGCTTCCTGATCTGTTTTGGAAGCCTGTGATTTGAGTAGAAGGTCTACTTGTCCTTTTCTGAGGAGATATTTGGGCTACTTCCATGCTGCACTATTCTTCAACATAAACTTTGTGAGCATACTATTCAGTGAAAAAAATGTGGCCCTGAGAGAAGCGAGAGATTGAGTAAAAATGTTGACTGTGTTAGCAGGATCCTCGAACCAGACTACTTGGCACCCCATCATGAGTGCCGCTGATACAACTCAGCCAAGTTATTGGTTGAACTGGAGATTCGCCATCTGCGCAGCTTTTCTCGCAGTTGCCATCGCTCTGGCAGGTTTTTTAATATGGAAGAATGAAGGGTCCAGGGAATCGGAGTCCGAGTCTGAATCTGTGAGAAGAGAAAGTCGGCCACCCACAGCTGGGTCCTTGTACGCGGATGAAGCTTGGAAGACGTGTCTCAAGACTATTCATCCTGGTTGGTTGCTGGGTTTTAGAATAATTGCTTTCATTCTACTCTTCGGGTTACTTGCAGCAAATACTATCAGGGATGGAGGTGGCATTTTCTACTTCTATACTCAGTAAGCTCACCCTCTAGTAGAATTTCATCTTCTTTTCCCCCATTTAAGAGTAAACACAAGCATGCATTATCTAGTGGCTCGCAGGTGGTAGTTTCTACAGCCATTATGTGAATGCATGTAGGAAACGATCATAACTAGCTTGTTACTTGTAACACCCCCCTTGGTATTCCCATGGTTAATTTGCTCAATACATGAAATTTTTCTCCCCTTTGGTCTTTTTAGGTGGACATTCTCTTTGGTGACCATCTATTTTGTGGTATGTTCTCTCGGAAAATCTGTTTACGAATATATAACAAAATCTATCCACTTCTCTATCCGTTGCTTCTGTGGAATATTGATAGTGATACGCACTCTTACTGTTGCAATTTTCAAATTGATTATGGTGTCATTTTCAATCTGAAGCTTGGATCAGCAATGTCAATTTATGGATGCTGCAAACATTGTGATGCCTCGGGTGGGGTTGATGGGGAACGTATGGATGCTGAGAGAGGGACTTACGTGGCACCAACCCTTGGGGGAGTCGTAGACTCGTCCAACCGCATAAAAGGTTCAGCTGTGCATCGAGAACCTTTCCCTGAGGAAAAGCAAACTGCAAGTGCGTGGGGCTACATCTTTCAAATCATCTTTCAGGTAACTTACCTTCTGCATCCAGTGTTGCTTCAGTTTAGTGGAGATCTGAGAGTTGTAGTTTAAATTACCTGGCGATACCATGTTCTTTGTCAAGTCTTTTCTTCCTGCATTTCTTAGCCTGACATGGATGATCATGAAGGTCAGAAAGCGTATTAATCATGAGGCTTCTCCTTAGAGGTGTAAATGAATAGTTTGTTCATTCTCTTCATTGCGTAAGATGGTTAGGAAGTTTTGATAGCACTGTTCATTTCCTTCTTCCTGATGTTTCCCCAGTTTGATTTCCCTTTTTCGGTTTCTATGTGCAAATATTTTACACTTGTGTACTGACACGTCACAACCTCTTTGGCTTTTAATGAAATTGTTACTAAATTATAAAAAGAAAAAGGGAGATGTGGATGAATTCCGGCCGAGTCTACCCTTGATTGCCTCTGGTTTGTTTTTAGCTGAGACCATAATCTTACAATCTCCAGATGGACCTTGTTTTCTTAATCTTATTAATGTCATATAAGGTACATATAACCCATCTGATTTTTCCGCTATTATGTGACAGACTTGTGCAGGCGCTGTAGTGCTCACTGATTGTGTATTCTGGTTCATCCTTTATCCATTTCTAATGGCTGCAGATTTCAGGCTTGAGTTTGTAAGTATTACCGGCTTCTCCAGTTATTGTTTGCTTGAGTTTTTTATGATGGCCTTGTATGTATCTCCGGTCTATGATATTGTACTGAATGTGTTAAGCCTGACCACAGATTGGTCTTCTAAAGTTGACACTTAGTTTCCATTTTCCCCATTTCAAAGAGCATTGCAAAGATACAGTTTTCTAGGAGTTTCAGAATCATTAATAATTATTCAAACCATTCTAGGAAAACAGCAGTAACCACCTGCAGTTCTCCCTCATTACAAGTCAAACTGTCTGTCTGAAAGCTGTGCTTTTCCTTCCTCCTGATTGCAGATAAATGCCTGCATGCATTCGGTGAATGCAGTTTGCCTGCTTGGTGACACTGTTTTGAATGGCATGGTAGGTTCAGCACTATCTATGGCTCTCTTTCTATCTCTGATTCCTTTGCAGTCTAGTCACACTGATACAATACGTCATTATTATCTTTTCTATCCAGCGGTTCCCCATATTTCGAATCGCGTATTTCATCATATGGACCAGCATTTTCGTGGTTTTCCAGTGGATCATACACGCATTTGTGTCAATGTGGTTAGTTTGACAGCACACGTTGCTAATTCCTTTTTACTTACTCCGAATCTTTCGACATGGAACCCTGTGGAACTAGGATTGAAACGTTTTTCTTCTTCTGGGTATAGGTGGCCATATCCATTCCTTGACTTGTCATCTAAATATGCGCCCTTGTGGTATGAAAATCACCCCCACTTTCTCATGTACTGTTATCATTTACTTTTGGACCAAACTAACTGTAAACATCCATGACTGCCTTGGATTTGCTTACAGGTACCTGGGAGTGGGAGTGATGCATATTCCTTCCTATGGGTTCTTTGCTCTGGTAGTTAGGCTGAAATACTTCTGGTTGGCAAGATCGTTCCCAAATTCATGCCATATCATTAGGTGAAAAACATGGCATTTCAAATCCTGTTGTAGCAGCATGTGGGAAGAAATTGTCTGTGTACCGAGTAAAGGGTGGCGGATCCTTTGATTAATTGTATCAACCAATGTTATGAAGCAAAGCGGTTTCGGTAACTTGGCTCTCAAGTTCATGTAATATAGCGTTCTTCCTTTTTGCCCCCTGTTTATAGTGTTCTTCTTGTATCTGTACAACATGCTTTCAATCCACTTAAGGCCAAGCCACTCTAACCTCCATGGCAGATTGCATCCAACCAAAACCAATAAAAAGAGCTGGTTACACAGTTCATTTGACTCGATGATAAGGTCGAACGCTGTTAATTACACAAATCTTGAATTGAATGGCTGATAACAATGAATGTCAGTCTAGAGCCTTCCGCTGTTCTTTCTCTTTCTCTCCCTGGTCTATCCCCCATATAGGCATAAGCTGGGGTCAGCTCAGGGTACAGGTACACATCCTCACCGCCTCTCAATAGTGTTCTTCAAAAAGGAAACAGCAGCACCTATTATGGCTTTACATTGTCCCTGATAAACTGTTCTACATCTGCTATCTTACCAGTCAAACCAGAAGCTTCTCCAATAGAGACTTTGTTAGTGCATTGTGAGAATGAAAATGCTTTCCCGGGTATACCAAGTGTGTGGTCATTGGCAACATCAGCATCTGATACTGCACTCCTTGATGTCCGTAGCTTGTCACTGCGAGATAGGCGAAATCAGATATTCAGGGTGAGCCTACTGGTAAGAAATAAACAATGAGTTCTAGATGGAACAACTTTGTCAAGAATAACCATCAGACAACTAAATAGTGATTGCTATGTGTAAGATGTTCATTAAGGCGGTGTGCGATGCTTCTAACATTATACTGTGGCTATCAAGATAAGCACCAACAGGAGAGGGTTTATTTACTCTCACGCATCATATGCAAATATAACAAGACAAAGACAGAACGAGAGGAAATTGAGAGCCATACATCTCTTTTTCAAGCTGTTTACAGATGAAATCCTTGGTATGCGCTGTAACCTTCTCTGTCTTGTTACAGCAAATCAGAACAGGAACCTTCTTTTTCACCACACTTGATTTGGTCAGAATATCATACAAATACCTGTTACGCACAAAACAAAACACCGTTAGAAACCAGTGTCTCCGTCTCTCCGATCATGCAAACAAAAGATCAGATGTGTAATCCATTAAGGGAGTTAATATAAACATACTCTGAATCTCCACGAAGGTTAGGTAAGAACTCCAGGGCATCAACGACAAAGACAATTCCTGCTGATTCAGGCAAGAACTCATCTAGCTTTGGCCGAAGACGAGGATGGCCAGGAACATCAACAATGTGGACAGGCTTCACCTTGCGCTCCTGTCAAGGAAACAAAAGGAAAAAGGCAAGCAAACACAGTAATTGTAGGAGCATCCAGTTCATCATATGATCGACAAGGAGAGCATAGATTATATAAACCAAATGCCCACTGGCGCGACAGGTTTTTGTAACTTTCTGTCGACATTGGCTCTGGCATGAATCAGGGCATTTCAAATTAAAGCTTACCTTGCTAGCTTCAGAATGGAGAATGAAAGTTCCTTCATTGGGTTCCATTGAGGTGACAGTACCCTGGTGTGAAGAGCCATCCCGAAGCTATCGAAGAAGGGAAACAATCAGAACCAGGTATGTCAGAAATCAAAGAACATGATGTATGACAGGAGTCCTCACCTGATAGAAAAGAATCGTTTTACCGCTCCCACTGAGTCCGGTCAAGACAACGGTATTAGATCTTGGCCGTCTAAACAAGCGAACTGCACAACATAAAAGGGAAACAAGAAGAAGAAGGAACATATTAGACACCATTCTCATTCTTACATACCACAGGAATTTGGTCAAAGCTCAGTCATTGACATCCAGCAGCGAGGAATTCCTAACACACCATAGCATAGGTCCAGCAATCAAATACTGATTTGGTATAAGAACCTAAATCAACAGCCTATCCCTAGTCAGACTCACTGATCGTCCAAACAGGGAGACAAGCAAGTACTGCATTCTTGGACTTTAACGTCAAACCTTCAGGAATTTTACAAAAGGGTACAATACCAGAAGGATTACCGAGAATGAAGAAAAGGGCAGTGAAAACCAGGACGGCAGCGGCGGAGTAGAGCTGAACTGGGGGTATCTGACGACCGTATTCAATCCCTTTCTGAATTGCCGGTATCTGAGAGGCGTATTCAATCCCTTGCTGAATTGCCGGCACCTGACGGATGTACTCGATCCCTTGCTCAATAAATTGCTCCACCTCGCTCTTCCACTGCTCAATCCCTTCCATTGAGAGATGATGACGACGACAAGATTCCTGCAGCCCAAAGAAAAGTTTCGAAATTTTCAGCCGACCCACATCCCAGATTCACTCACTGAGACTTTTCAGATGATTTCTCGACCTTCTTGGGAAAATATGGGCAGCTCGAGTTGGCTTACCGGCTAGAGAAAAGCAGAGATATAGGCGCTGCTACTCCGAGTAGTCCCCGAGGTCGCCTGTAAAGCGGATTTCCAAGCTGTGTTTTGGCTTCGGCAAGTGAAGACTCAAGTTTTCGATCTGTGTGGCTTTGCCATTGTTTGGCAAGAAGAAAAAAAAGAGTGATGAAGAAAGTTCGCGGACTTCGAAGCCTGGCCCAGAGCCCAAACCACTTGCCTGATGAAGGGCTCGATCGTGTAAACGTCCATGAACGAGAATTGGGCTGGTCAAACTGTAATCTGGGCAATCTGGCCCATGGCCAGCAAGTCACCATCCTCTTCCTGCTCCCAACTTTCTGAATTCACTGACAAACTGATAAGCAATAATTAATTAGCTAGGTCACAATGTATATTAAAAATGGTTTGTGAATTGTGACCCTGTAAGCCCATTACTGTGGAAAATTCGATAAAATAATTAATTGGGTCAGTCACTGTACGTTGAATGTTTAGGGTGGGTTGTAGACTGGGAAACGGTGCGGTCTGGTCTAGACCGGACCATATATACGGTCTATGGTCTAGACCGAGAGGTTGGAACATAGACTACAGACCAGATTACAAACTATACGGTCCAGATAGACCAAAAATTAACAATTTGATTAGTCACCACACACACAAAAAAATTGAACCAATAGTCCAGAAAAAAATTTTTTTTTTCCTTCAAACATATATTCCAATATGCATGAATAATTTTGACACTATAAATCTAAGTAAATAATAAAGATACAAAATCAAAGCATCACAACTTGTACCATAAGTCCATAATGGCATAAACATTTACATAATGTCATATAGAGACACAATCATCTATCCTCTATTGTAGCCAGCTTCACTAAAATTTTTTTGTTTTTTTAAGTTCAAGCTGAAATGAAGAATACACAATATTCGACTAAAAAGTAATGTATTAAAAAGAATAAACAATACCCATTTAGATCTCAATCATTTGTTTGATAAAAGGGCTTGATATTGGTTACAAATTTTTCCTAAGTATGAGGTTATTTGGAACCAAAGATAGCTTGTATTACCAAGAATAACAAAGATACAACGTTCAGACCTCCGAACGGATCCAAGCGCAAAAATCAAAACTGCTCAGAATGGGCAGGGACAAAGAGAGGACTTTTCTAGCCACTAAATGGGCTACCCTATTGTTCTGTCTGCCTACAAAGTGCACAGAGAATCCTGGCTGATCACGGAGCAGTAGCTTGACCTCCTCCAAAAGAGCCCCGCCAAGGCCCAAGCGCATCATTAACCACCCCTGCTCTGACTTTGTCGATGATCCTCACACACTCGGGGAAAGAACCATGCCAAAAAAATATAATAAGAAATAAAATCAAAATTGTATTAGAGAAAAAGTAAATGCAACATCTTTTATAAGCATGTATGAAAGAAAGAAAAAGTATGTCAAAAAGAAAAAGAAAGTGATTGCAATCACATTAATGTGGCAAAATGTATTATTAAGCAAATGCTTATGTGGCAAAATGTTTCTTCACAATCCTCTAATATAAGTTAAGATAAGATAAATTTTTTATTCAATAATTTTAATGACTACAAATAAAACTAGTTTTAAAATTAACAAACAATTGACTCTATTCAATAACTATTAACTATAGCAGATCGACCATCATCTAGGTTGAGAAATCACAAAACAATTTACCAATTTTACATAGGAATGACAATTTGAACCTGCTTTGACTCGCGATGATGGGGCGGGTATTATCCGACTCGCAGTAGAATGGGGTGGGGCATGAGCATGGTTGTCACGCTGGTCGGCGTGCCACTAGTTGAACCTGGTTCAACCTGTACCGGTCATAAAACCGGCATGACATCACCGGTATGACCGGCATAATCGATATACGAATCTCCAAGTAAAACGATCTTATCTTAATCGATATACTTTTGTGTGAATTTTTTTCCCAATTAAGTGGGTCGACTCGCCCCGTCCCATACGCACACAAATGTTACCCATCTCAACTCAGACGTAGTGCGAGATAGGAATGACAATGGGCCGGTTTGAGCTGCGTTTTGTCAACCTGAACCCAAACCCATGGGTATATCTATAAAAAAAACCTAGGGTAAAACCCAACGGATTTGGAAAACTCAAACCCAACCCAACCCGCGGGGTATCTGTGGGTTCATGGATACTCACGGGTTCAACAAATGCACAATAACTTCCTGTCAAAATAAAAGTCTAACATCAATCTTCCCATACAAATTATTTGTACAAAAAACACCAATCTAGAGCATACAAGCAAACCACAAATTATCCATACAAATTGTTCAACATTAAAGATAAACATCCATAAACAACATTATTAATTGAAAGTTTTCTCATTGTCAACTAAGCTTCTTCACTGTTCACTCTACACTCCATAATTTCAACTTCTTTCTATAAGAACAAATTAGATGGGTACAGGTTGGAACGAGTTGGATATGGCTAAACCCTAACCCAATCCACCTGCAAAATAGTAGGACGAGTTTAAATCCGAACTCGATCCGTAATCCGTCAACACGGACTTTACTCGCCTTGACTGGGTTGAATCGGGTAGGATATCCATGAATTGAATTATGTTACGATAGGAAAACATCTCTTGCCACGTTAGGTGACCAGTTTATTTACGCCATTTTGTGCTTATTCTTGCCATTTTGTGCTCATTCACATAATACTATGATGATTTACGTAAGAGTGTAAGTTTTTCACGTAAATGGAAATTCATACTTTTTCCTCCTAATAATTTGTATTGGCTATATTTTATGGAATCAAATTTGGATTATCATTTAATCTGTAAAAAATATGTTGCATTGATCATAATCTACGCAATGACATGTTTTGATATATTTCAAAGAAATATTATTTTGCAACAACGTGATGACCTAACAATAATGATTACGTAAATAATCAACACACTTATGTGAATAATGCAAATACGTTGTAAATAACACATATATAACGTGAATAACACAAATATGATGTGAACAACTCAAAATTATGTGTTTTGTGACAAGAGACATGAGTATTGAGTTACCGCATCACTAGCTCTACCGGTAAATAAATAATTAGGGGGTCGTTTGGCGGATTGTAGAACAGCTGAAACAGCGAGTAGGGAAGAAAAAGGTTGAAACTTGAAAACTACTTTCAGAGTTCCGACCGGCTGCTGCCGCCGCTACCTGAGGAGATGGCACTGTTGATGGAGAAAGGGTCCAAACCCACTACTGATTCTGAGGTCAGTGACCTTGAAGGTATCGCCGCTCTCAAACAGTCTACTGCTGTTGAGCTCAAGGTATGGTCTCCTCGTCTTGCTGCTCCTCCTCTCGCAACTTTCTCTTCCTACTTGTATTTATTGTCGCGAGAATTCCATCTCCTGGACCTGAACATGAACCAGTAACCAATTTTAACAACCATTAGTTGAAATTTGATGCCTTTCATGGTTCATAGGGGTCCAAAGTTCACCGTCCTGACATAATTTTCTTCAAAATGAGCAAACCCCTTTTATAGAGTAGTCCTTCATTTTGGCGGTGGAGGCGAACCCCTTTATGCCATTGGTTTATCCTCAGACTTACTGATTAACTGTGCTGCAATTCCAGGAGCAAGGTAACCAGTATGTCAAGATGGGAAATAAACATTATTCTGAGGCCATTAACTGCTACACGAGGGCAATAAACCAGCAAGCTCTTACCGACTCTGAGACCTCTCTTCTGTACTCAAATAGATCCCATGTTAATCTACTTCTGGGAAACTATAGGCGTGCCATTACGGATGCTGAAGAGGCAATTAAGCTTTGCCCCAGCAATGTTAAGGTGGGGTGGTTTAGTTTTCCAAAGTGCTGTTCTTTTTGTGCTTTGTAATGGGTTGCCCGCGTTCATGTTGGATGCTTTTTTGTTTTCATTAGGCATTCTATCGTGCTGCCAAAGCATCGCTGTCCTTGAATTTGTTGAGTGAAGCAAAATATTTTGCCGAGAAGGGACTAGAGCTAGATTCAAGTAACGTTGAACTGGAGAAACTTGTTAGGCAGATAAGTGCACTGAAGATGGAACAGGATAAGCAACAGGCTGAGATTAACAAGGCCCTAGCAGTGGCTAAGGTTTGATTCCTGGAACGCAGAGAAATCCAAAGTATGCTTGTGAGAAAAGTTGGGAAGCTAATGGATTTGCCTTTTGTTGAAACTTTTCAGGATCTTGTTTCAGCATTTGGAGACAGAGGATTGAAGATGGGCAAGGCTATGTATCGAGAACTTACTGGTTTGAAGAAACCTGTGTTAGATAAGAATAAGATTATGCACTGGCCGGTTCTTTTTCTCTATGCAGAGGTTATGTACAGCGACTTCATAGAAGATTTCTGTGAGATGGATACATTTTCCATGCATCTCGATATGATATCCTTATCCTCCTATAATTGGCTGCTTTTTATAATTTTTTTATGCTTTATCGATCTATCCGTATACCATCTATGACATCCTTAGCTTTCAAACATGTATTCAGAAAGTAGTCCACCGTTACCTTGGGATACAGGAAATAATTATACTCGTGAAGAAATTGAACTTTACTATGAGGTACACTATCTAGTGTAGTTTGCTTTGGTCCATCATCCTCAACTCTGACTGCCAGTTTCTAACCTTTTATGTCACTTACTCATCAGGCAGGTTCTGGGGTTTGTCTTCCAGAGACTAAAGTTCTTCAATATCTGCTAGAAGGGACAGCTGGTGCTGATATCGAGTGTGAAAATGAAGAGAAGGATACAAGTGAGCATGGCTTTTCAAGAGGTTGTATTCTCTTACCATCTTTGCTCTTTACTTGCCCTTTGTTCTGATCATAACCGTGTGGGCACCTAGAAATCTACTGCTCTAAAACGATAGATCCATGTAGCATATTGTCACATAAAAATTCTGTTGCCTAGGGTTGTTTTAAGTTTGCTCAAGAGAAATAGAGCTGCAGGAATTTAGAAGAAAATAGAGGAAATTAGGGTATGTTGACAGAGGTAGGATGGGGAGCACCACCACGCCCATCTGTGATAAGGTCGGGTAACTTACTGCGACAACCTCCTGCCACAAGGAAGACTCTTCTATAGTTCTGAAAATTTTATGAAAATCTGGTACTTAGAAACTGACACACAAGCCCTATTACAAAGAGAGGCTGTTAGCAACATAGTTGTTTACTACAACTAGGTAATTGAAATTTTGCATCTTCCTTAAGGTTGGCAGCAGCTGACTCAGCTCTTCGAGCCACGAGAGTGTTCGTAACAACAAAACAAGTTGTTTCATCTCATCTAAATTCCCATAACCACTCATTGATTTCCTCCTCACTCTCTTCGTTCCTGAATGTATCGTGATGGTTGTTGCTCATTTAAGGCTGGTCAGCAGCTGACTCAGCTCTTCGAGCCTCGAGAGTGTTCTTAACAACAAAACAAGTTGTTTCGTCTCATCTAAATTCCCATAACCACTCATTGATTTCCTCCTCACTCTCTTTGTTCCTGAATGTATCGTGATGGTTGTTGCTCATTTAAATTGGGCATAACCTTTTATTGTGTTACCAAAACGAGAGCTAGATCTTCGTGGTCCTTGGACTTTTCATACTTTAAGTCCTTTAAATAATGGTTTGATCTGCGATATTTTAATTTCCCAATTTCAATAAAGCAAATCATTTTTTATGCAAAATCCTTGTGATCATTGTTCTCAGGAGACGCCATTACTAAGTGGGTCAAAGTGAATGAAAAGAGAAAGCTTGTTGACGTGATTCAAGAACCTGGCTTCATCATCTCAGAAATCCCAGGTCTGCTTTCAGCTCCTGGACGAATGCTTTTCAAATTCTGTTTTATCTTTTGAGCGCTTAAAATTTTTCTTGCTAGAAGAATATCAGAAAGATTGACCTTTTTGCCGTACTTGTCAGCTGCTCACCCTATTTGCTCCTGCACTCTGCAGTTTTCTACGTCGTTTCAAAGCGCTCCAGCTTCTATGAAAAGTTCAAAGCTGGGAAATGGAGACTTCCCTGATATGCTTAGTTTTGCTCAAGATGGCAAGTAATGTGGTTTAGATACACAATGCGATGTAAAGAGGTACGAGCGGGCATTGACAGGGACACACATGGGACATTGCTGTTACCAAGGGACGAGACTCGATTTTACAAAGAAGAGCACTGTCCCCAGATCCATTGGCCTCCACAGGGAAACAAGCATATCTATAGGTGCTAGCAGGTGGTATTCTGTTGTGATAATGTAAGGGTTACGATCGCAACAAAGAACAATCAAATGTAGGAATTTCGTGTTGCCGTCTATTTGCCTCGAATCATTTGACGATTTGGGATAATGGTTCCAATTTCCAAACCAGTAACATATCGAAGTTTAAGCTAAGGTGAATCCTTCATTCCATGTACTGAGAAATTTATGAAATAAGCTTCATGGTATGTGCTTACAGAAATCATTTAAGAAGTGAAACTACAGCACCGGCGCACCATAGTGCTCGAATTGGACATCTTGTAGAAGTTTATGACCATTTTGATTACCAGATGAACTTGTGTGACCATGTTGGACAAATACCTGCTATTATATTTATCCGATACAATTTGGAGCGGGCGGGAACTGCAGCCCATGGCCCTTCATTTCCAACAATAAGAGCCCATGGATTTGGATCAAAGCCCAAACCCACGCCGGTCTCCTCCTAAATCCTGAATCCCTAGTTTTGCTTTCCCGCCGTTGCCTTCAGCTCCAAAGCGCCCTCCGAGCCCTCTCCGCCTGCCGACTGCTTACTGCTGCCGTGACATCCGTCGCCTCGTCTCTTGTCTCCCGTCGCCACGCACCGCCGGAATCTTTCTCTGATCCACCCTCTTTGATAGTATCAATACCCAGATTGACAAGCCGGACTATTGTCGAGAACTCTCGGTACCTTTCATACTCCTTACTCATTGCGGGAGCTCTTGAATTTCTTTTGCGTAGATGATATGGTTTTGAGAAAGAAAAAAAAACAAGTGTTTTCTCACCAACGCTTTTGCTTACTTTAACTCTTCCATCGGTTTTGGCCGAACTTTCTCCCATTCTGCCTTTGTGTTTTGCTGATAGCTGAGCTTAAGATTGGTGATGGGCATTCTACAGTTAGCCTTATTAGACCTGCGTTTGTGTGAAGCATCTTCTGTGAGTAATGTTGTAGCTTGAATTTCTAACCCATCTCATTGCTATGGAATAGCAGTGGTTTATTCTTTTCCTTTGCCACTTTACCTGTTTTCTCCAATTGGCTATTCATTGTACAATCCTCCCATCTTTTATGCTAGATTACAGTATGAAAAATAAGTTGAAATGGTTAAAGAGAATGTGGGATTATATACCTTGCTGTGTATGATGCTAATTGCTACATAATTTCATTTGTTGGGAAGTACAGAATCCACATGGTCTTAAACTGCTCAATACAAGCTGATTTTTACACATTTCTAAGTTTACTACACTACGCAATCCACATCTTATGATTAAAGAAGATGACTGCTGATGCTTGTTTTTATAATGTAATAAACAGATAGATAAGGAATAAAAGTGACAATGGGGTTGCTGGACTCATCTGGGGACTTGTCAGCGGAGATGGAAGTGGATGCATTCAGGCGTCTCTTCCCACTACGCTACTATGAGCGCCATCTTGCCGAATCTATACGACCTGATGGTAGGCCTCTTGGAAGGGCTAGAGATACTACAGTGGCCTTGGGTGAGTGCCTCATTTTTTATCTTGTTGCAGCTTTATGATCCTGTACAGCTTTTTATTCTTATTTTTCTAATCTAATTGAAGACAATATCTATCAGGGGCTGTTTCTTCTGCTGATGGATCCGCTCTTGCAAAGATTGGCTCTACTGTAGGTGGCATCTCCCTCTCGTATATGTTGTCACTGATGCATTTGTTTTATGTTTGGAAACATGGAAGATAAAACCACAAATCCTTCTCTACTTGTCTGTCTGTTTTCAGACAATGCTTGCTGCCATAAAAATGGAAGTCATGACTCCTTCCGCAGAATCACCTGATGAGGGGTGTATAGGTATGTTGAACCTGGTAATGATTTGTGCTTCTGTTTGCGATGTCTTTCGACTGTTAAGTTGTAATCCATTGGACGTATGTAACATGCAGCTATTGAGTTCCACATGCCACCAATTTGCTCTCCAATTGTTAGGCCTGGCAGGCCTGCTGAAGCAGCAGTAGTTGTGTCAAAGCAACTGTCTGACACCATTTTGAGGTACGAAAGAATGTAATCACTTGATGTTCAACTTGTATTTCATGATGTAGTTTTTTTGTTTTTCATCAAATTTATAGTATTTATGAGAATGAAACAGTACTGGATAGCCACTATTCATACCTGAAAAGGCTATGGACATGTCTGATTAAGTATTTCTCAATGAATCAACTGGCCATTGTAGCATCATTTCTGATTATGCTCTCCTGTTTCGATCTGGTGTTATGTATGCTACATAAGTTGTCAGACAAAAAAGGATTGGGCTGGGATGAGTGGTATCATGTTAGTTGCTTGATTGACTGTCTGAAAGTTGCATGCTTTAGAATGCAAGCACGCCTTTACCAAGTCTTGTGCTAAGAGCCTGAGTCTATGGAATGTGAGCCATGGGTACCTTGAACTTGCCAAGCAGATCTAATTCTGTACTCGATGGGGTTAATGAAAAGGCTTTTTCTTTTCAATTGGATAAACTGAACACAATGATTGCATTCTTGTACTAGCGTTCGTCCATGATAAGGAAGAACCATCTGTCTGGTCTTTGCAGTTCTGGGATGATTGATCTGAAGGAACTTGCTTTGGTCAGTGGAAAAGCTGCTTGGATGGCTTACTTGGTAAGCAGAAATGATTTCCGAGATTTTTGTTTCAAGCTTCTTCACGAGACATGCCAACTATACTATTCTTTCCTACATTCTTAACTCTTTGACAGTCACAAGACCTCATCGCTGACCTTGCTTCCATAACTGCTATCTGCTGTGTGACAAACTTGCACAATCTCAATTGCAGGACATATATTGTTTAGATGCCGATGGTGCACTTTTTGATGCAGCATTGCTTTCAGCCGTGGCTGCTTTCTCCCACTGTAAACACTTGTCTCCCTTCCTTAATAGTTCCTCCTTCGTACACGTTACTGCTTTCCCTAATCCATGTGCCCGCTCGGTATTCTCTTGCAGTGCAAATCCCAGTAGTTTCCGTGAATGACAAAGGAAAAATAGTAGCCTTCACAGAGGAAGGTGATGGGAGGAAGTTGGAGAAAGAAGCAGTTAACAAAGAGAAGATAAAACTAACCCTCGGCAGCATCCCTTTCTCACTTACATGTGCACTACATAAGAAGTACATCTTGGCAGACCCCACGTCAGAAGAAGAATCCATCATGGAAACTCTCGTGACAGTGGTCATGGACTCGTCCGACAGACTTGTCTCGTTCTACAAACCTGGTGGACCCGCTCTTGCCTATACCTCTCTTGTTACAGTGAGTCTGATTACATAGTGGCTTCATTTTTCACGACACAGTTTGAACGAACTTGCGAAGAACACTAAAACTTGGCTACGTTCCTGTTTGGTTGCAGGATTGTGTAGCGTTGACGAGGCACAGAATGAAAGAACTTGAGAAGATCCTCGACGAAGCCTTTTCAGGGATGGAGGTTGACTAGGTGTGCCTACCCATTTGAGTTTATTTTTACGTTGAAGATGGATTGATGAATACTAGTGCATTCCACCCGGTTGGTTGTGTTCTTTTGATGTTCTCAGCGGAGCAAGGACTGCTGAATTGCAGAACCACCAGAATTGTTGTCCCCTGTTCGAATACGTGCAGTCCTAACTTCACAATTTTTGTGTTTTGGTGGTGGTGAGGTTGGGTCGGGTAGGGTTAGGGTATGGGGGTGTGTAGAAAAGAAATTAGGTTTTTTTTAATGAATGTAATAATGAGGTGAAAAATATAATTTTTATTTTTAATATTTTTAGAAACCACGTCGCATATTTAATGGTCAACTATGAAAGTTGACTGTCACGTAAGCTAGAGTTAACGGAAATGGACGGAGAGTGATCAAACTTGAACCATTTTACTAAGTTTAGTAACCAAAATTGGATTTAAATATTTCCAGTGACCAATCATACAATTAACCCAAAAAAAAAGAGTTGCCAAATGAATGGAGCTCACAAATTTGAAACTTTTTTAGTTGCTAATCCGCCAACCTTATAAATTTGGAAACCCCCTATATAAATAAATATCCGGGTTAAAGACACATTTGGTCACTGAGATTACAAAATCGGGACATGTTTAGTCACTAGAAAAAGTTAATATCAAATTTGGTCACTACAATTACTAAAACTGGACACATTTAGTCACTCGCCGTTAGTTACCGTCCAACTCCGTTAAAAGAGTCTGTTATGTGCTGACGTGGCTAACGTGAGCGCCTAGTCAGCGCCGTTTTGGGCTGGAAATGGTCAAACCCGACCCGCCACGTCACTAAACCCAGCACGTATTAAACCCAATCCAATCCATTAACCCAACCCGACCCAGAAATAAACCCTAACCCACCTAACCAGACCAGATCCCACTTAAAAAAAAAAAACTGATTTGTTTTCATTTCAGACCCAGAAACCATTCTCCTTCCTCGAGAGTTCTTCCCCTTCGCCATTTTCGATCAAACTAATCCTAGAGCAGAGAGCAGGGAGAGATGGAGCCATTAAAGCTACCCCTTGACTGTGAAAGCGTAGTCCCTTGAAGAGTAATTGATTCGGCGAGCAATCTAGAGCGGAGGACAGGGGCGGCGATTTTGGTGGATTTGGTTGGGGGGAAAAAATGGAGACGATTACAGGTATAGAAATCCCTAGTTTTTTATTTCTCTGCGCTTTGTTTCTGGTCTTGTTTTGAAGATTTGCCTGCATCCATCTCTCCTCCGATTTTACCTACCGTTTTGGAAGCTGGAGACGGTGAATCGTCTCGAGGGTTGGTGAAATCGGATGTCGACGCGCCTAAGATCCTTCATATGAACTACGCAGATGGCCAGATCTACTGTCGGTGACATGTCTGCGCTATTTCAAACGAGATTTGTGGATTTTGACGGATGGGCGCAAAGCCGTTTCTCGTCGGAGCGGCCGATCTATTGTTTGGAAAAAATCTCTTCTATTGATTATTTGGGTTTACCCGTGAGGCTATCCCCTGACTGTGAAATGGGGTCAAGGGGTAGCGTTAATGGCTCCTGCTCTCTGCTCTAGGATTGGCGAAGGGGAAGAGCTCTCGAGGAAGGAGAATGGTTTCTGGGTCTGAAATGGAAACAAATCATTTTTGTTTTTTTTTTAAGTGGGATCTGGTCTGGTTAGGTGGGTTAGGGTTTATTTCTGGGTCGGGTTGGGTTAATGGATTGGGTTGGGTTTAGTGACGTGGCGGGTCGGGTTTGACCATTTCCAGCCCAAAACGGCGCTGACTAGGCGCTCACGTTAGCCACGTCAGCACATAACAGACTCTTTTAACGGAGTTGGACGGCAACTAACGGCGAGTGACTAAATGTGTCCAGTTTTAGTAATTGTAGTGACCAAATTTGATATTAACTTTTTCTAGTGACAAAACATGTCCCGATTTTGTAATCTCAGTGACCAAATGTGTCTTTAACCCATAAATATCCCCTTATTGAGTGTCCATTCTCTATCATCATTGTATTCATTGACCCTCTCATAATATTATGTCACGCATAATATTAATATGACACAAGTGACAAGATACATAGCCATCAAAATGTCACGCATAATATTAATATGACACAAGTGACAAGATACATAGCCATCAAAAGACCTCCCAGATGTCAGGATAAGCATCATTGTCCACTTCGTGGTTGACCCCTCCAAGTTTGTAGGACACCGAATTATTCATACTCGTAGTTTTTGGAGCTCTCATTGAAACTCCACACAAATAAGAATAACATTAGGTGGATGAACAAAGTGTAATGTTATGTCCGCAAGCAGTATTGAGTTGAAAGGAAAACTATCCTTCGCATGCAGCAACCTGTTTTTGGCTTTTCGACGAAGTAAACGAGCATTGTCGTCTTTCTTCCCTCTCTTTCGACATATATAGCTTGTACGCCAAGCTTTTTCCCTTTTCTTTCCTTGTGTTTGCCTCGCTCTCCACGGAACTATAGCCCGTCATTTTGACAGCTTGTCATAGGGCAATGGCCTTCAGAACTTGGTGTCAATGGAAAAAGTGGGAATATAATGCTTCGAGTTAATGGCAGCAATGACTTCTACCTCGGTGTATTAGTTCTCTTTTCTTTCTACGTTCTGTAAGTTCAAAGTAAGACTGTAAGATTAGTTCCATAACTTTCTCCTCAAGCGATTACAATACCAATGGTGAACCACTACCATTTCTATGTCAACAATTTTGCTTCTACTTAAAGTTTCAACACAAAGAAACAATTACCACACACCAAAAGAAAAGCCACCATTGTGCAAAATACCAATCCCCCACCAGCAGCCAGGCTGCCAAAAAGACAACTACAAAGGTGCATTCTCCACGTACAACACTTCTGTCTGCACTTTGAATGAGTGGAATCTTAATGTACCAAATCAGCAAATCCATTCAGTCAATCAAAGTGAAGTCCGACCTAACAGTATTACCCAGGGAATGGGAAGAACTTGGATATATGACATTCCTACAAATCTGCATTTCGTCTACTCTCCAACATCCATCTACATACAGCCAAGGACAGGAGCTGTTTCTATAGATAAATAGGACAAGTCACAACTCTGCGCCATAGAACAATGATTATACAGATATAGAGTCAGAATTTTGGCAGCATCCAGTTAAAGGTGTGCCAACAATGTCGGAAAGCTGCAATTCCAGCTCATTGTTTTGCATCCTTTGCCCATTTGGTGCGAGTCTCTGGATTCTGTCACAGGAAATCTTAGTGCTTATCTATTTTCCTTGAGTAAATTGCTGCTGTCAAACCCTAGGTGTGCTGCATGAAGCCAATAACACTCATGGTAACTAACAATGACCAAACCATATTTGAAGATTGATACTCGTATAAACCAGAGCCCAGAACAGATGAAACCCCATTCTGCTACCTAGTTCCTCCAGCTATCAGAGATCAGATGCCTTCATTTTTCTTGGCCGCTTATTAGCTGGAGATGATGGTGTCTCAGATACCCTTCCAGGTCCCTTCACGAGGAAAGTCGCAAGTTAAAAGAGCCAAATCAGCTCTCTGCGAAGAAGATATGCTGAAGCTGCAATATGAACAACTATGTGTGGTAAAGAAACTTTTTTTACCTTGCGTTTCGGGTCCTTTCGACCACCTCTTTCACCTGGCATCAGAGGAAGGAAAAAGAATGACGGAGGAGCATAGGTTGGCAGATAGCATGTGTCTTATAATAAACTGAAAGAGAGATTAGACAAATACTAAATGGACCAACCACATAAGCAAGTATTACCTCCAAAACTCATCGCATCAGGAATAAATGTCCGATCATGATCACGTACTTGACGCTGTTGAAAAGCATTCAAATCATATCAATCCAGGTGACAATTGTAGCCAGTGATGGATAGCAACATCAAATGGTAACAGACAAGCATACAGTTCACTGACCTTTGGTGTACCAGGCATTTCTGAATAGGTAGTACCCTCACGTAATGATGAACCTTCTGCCTCCTTGTATTGCAACTGATTGTCAAATGAAATACAGAATACTAGTAAGAAAGACATTACACAAGCAGAGTATAATTACCGTTAGTCTGAACCCAATAGAAACAAAGCCCAAACAAGAAAACAAGGGTAATGGGGCAATCACTCAAAAGAAATCAACTAGTTGTACATTAGGCGACACAATAAAATCATAATAAGTAGCAGAGGGAAATTTCGGATACGCTTACCTGTTTTTGGAGGTTTAGTAGGGTCAATATTTCCTTTCTCAACTCCAGGTGTTCAGCACAGACGGCTTTGGTTGGCACCCTAGGTTTTAAATTAATCTGTTGGAGTAAAACAGTTCGTGAATTTGTATTCTATAACAAACATAGGCATATGTTGATGAGTTACACATAGAGTTTGCGTAAACATGTAACTAGAGTTCAGGGAGGAAAACAAACCCCAAGATCTTGCAAAGTTTGCTCAACTCGCTTAATGGTACGAAGTCCTGCTGACGAACTCGCCTGTTGCACCATTTGCTCAAGTGCATATGTTCTCAAGTATACTGGAAGCTGAAATTGGGAGTCAAAAGCCGTCAGTCTACAAGTTCAAGAAATAATACCAAAATAGGCTATATATTTCACTGAAATTAAGTTATCCACAATAAACATTACATACAAGAGAGTTTACACCCGGGCAGGAGAAGAGAGTTGTGGAAAGAGGAGATAGAAATGAAGTCTCAAATAAAAATCTCCACTTACCATACGCAGTGAAGCCAGAGTAGAAGAAGTATCTGCGATGACCAAAGTTGAAGGTGGAGCTGCCACTGGGGCAAGTCGAACATTTGATAGAGATACAAGAGTATTGTGATCAATAGTTGTTTCAGGAAATTCATTCTCAGTCGCAGGCATTACAGATTCCTCGACACCCTGAACAAATTACAGCAATTAAAACATAACCAACAAGTAGACATGGGTACAGACATTTCGCTTCGCCTGAATCAAACTGAAGTTTCAGTTTTGGAGAGACAGGCAGCATAGACGCCACACAATCTAATAAATCATAATTTTAGGGACATTAATCAGATAATCTTAACACCATATAAAATACATGTCTACTCTTCTCCTAAACTCATACAGCAAAACCCTGCTCAGGGAATTCACAATGTTATGCAACAATATTTGTTGATGTATAGATTAAAATAAAGCTCTTGTTTTCAAAAGAACATATATAATTAGAAAACACAATTATAATGGTCCAAAACAAAAAAGAGCACAAATGATAGAAAAGAAGCCTTAGGCAATCAACATAAGAGTTTAAACCCAATACGGTCCTGACAATACCATTGTAGTCATGA